TATTTACTTATTTATTTATACAAGCACTGGGTGCAGTCAGAAGCACGGGAGGGTGAGAGAACTCACCAGAGCCAGAGCGGGGAGCAGAACAGGCAGAAGGACCGAAGTACACTGTTGAGGGGAGCAGCGGGCGGCAGGAGAGGTCTGCGGGCCATGTGGGACCCTCGCCTGGTGGCCGGGGAGCAGCTGGGGATCGAACCGGCGCTGCTGAGGCTGCGGGCAGCTTCGCAGCCCAGCGCTCAACCGCTGTGCCACCGGGGAGGCCCTATTTTGTCATCTTTTAAACAATTTCTGTTGGAATATTTTGTATATTCTTTCTCATTTATGTGTTGTAAAATGTTCTATTCTGTTGCTTGTCTTTTTAAAATTAAAACACCAATAATAATGTAAGCTAATGTCACCTCAATTTAAAAAATATTTTAAAAATATGGAAGGAAAAAAACAAAATAAAATCTTTTAGTTTGAGATCACTGTAAACTCACCTGCAGTCTAAAAAGTAACACAGAGATAGCCCACAAACCCTTACCCAGTTTACTCCCATGGCAACACCTTGCAACACTATCACCAGCAGAATATTGACACTCATATTGTAAAGATACATAATATTTCCATTACCACTGAGATCCTTTATGTTGCCCTATTATAGCCACACCCACCTCCCTGGGCCCCCAACCTCTTTACCTTTCTTATAATTTCCTTCCTTCATTGTTTTTCCCTTTATCTAGGCTCTTGAGGTATGAGCTTATATTATTGATTGAGACATCCTCCTTCTAATTTATGTATTTAGTGCCATAAAGTTCCTCTTCAGTACAAGCTTAGGTATATCCCACAAATTTTATGTTATATTTTCACTTCCATTCAGTTCAATGTATATGTAAAATTTACCTTGAGATTTGCACTTGATCCATATATTACTTAGAAGTACACTTAGTTTCCAAATATTTATAGATTTTCCTGTTATCATTCTGACATGCTATCTGGTTTGATTTCAGAATACACTCTAGGATTTAATTTTTTTTTTTAATTTGCTGAAGTTTGTTTAAGGCCTGAAGTTGTTGGATGGAATGTTCTATAAATACCAATTACATACCATTGGTTGAAATTGAATTCTTCTAAACATTTGCTAATTGGCCTGTTAATTGTTGAAAGATAGGTGTTGAAGACTTGAACTATTATTATGGGTTTGTTTATTTCTCCTTTCAGTTCTATCAGTGTAGGGTAAGGAAAAATGTCAGGCTTTTCTGCCCTCCCGCCATCAGGATAGATGATGGATCCTTGCGGTCCTGAATGCATGCCTGATGGCAGGCAACTGGAGTAGGGTGTGGGCATAGGTAGATGGGATTCACCTGGGCTGAGACTGGGCTTTTAAGGGCGGTGTCATGGGGACACCAGCAGAAGCCGAAAGAGAAGACGAGAGTGAAGCAAGAGAAGCAGAAGCTGAGAGAAGGCCAGAGCGCCCAGAGTGAAGACTTGCTGGGGGCTGGGAGGCCTGCCAGCCTCCTGGCCCCCCAGCACCCTTGCCTGCCATATCCTGATAATCCCAATAAAAACCTGCAAAACCACTGAGGACTCTGATTCCTCCTTTACCCAGTCTGCTGGATCAGAAAACCTGCACAGTGTCCATTCCTGCCTTTACAAGCAGTTTTTCATTAACTTATTTTGCAATTCTGTCATTAGTCTACTTTTTTTCTTGTACATTATCACTGCCCAAATCCAAGCTACCATTCTCTCCCCTGGGTTAGAGTGAAGTCCTCCCAACCATGAAGACTTACATGGAGACATACTCCAGGGAATTCAGTAAGCCCTGGAAAAAAATACAGTCTAACTCCCTTATGAAGTTTAAGTGTGGATAGGTCTGTAGCTTATGACTATAACCAGCCAACAGTGCTTTGAACAACATTGCCAAGCACTGTAGTAAGCATTGAGGACAAGAGATGAATTAGTTATGGTCTCTTCCTCAAAAAGATTACAATTAGAGGGGAGAAGCAGAAATTAAAACCTCAGCAAAACAAAACAGGTAAGTTTATTTGAAGAGACATTTGGGACAAGAGAAGGAAGCACTTAATCAGATATGGTGGTGAGAATCAAAGACTTCCTGAGCTAAATATTACACCAAGAAAAGGAATTAGCCATGCAAAAGTTGGGGACAGGAAGTGAGTAATTCCAGCAGTAGGGAAAGAATGACTAAAGATAAATAATGGTATAGGGGAGCAGTTCAAGAGGTTTGGTTTCTATATGAATGGAGACAGAGGAGAATAGGAGGAAGATGAAGCTAGAGAGGAAAGCTAGATCCAATTTAAGCTTATACTTTAGAAATGAATTTTAAACATTGTCAGATTTGCATTTTTAAGTGTTCATTATCTGCTCTTTGAGAGGTAGATTTTGCCAAATGCAACCTGGAAATATTGAGATACTTAAGGAGTACATTGCAATAACTATGTTAACTCTTACCATAGCAGTATTGAGCAGTTGCTACTAGCTGAGATAACTAGGGACCTGGTGCATTGAGATCAGCAAGATAATGACTAGGAGAAATGAATAGAAATTAGAGAAAGTATTATAAGCAAAACTGGGGAGGGGGGAGAGCAAAAGAAAGGAAGAACTAAAAACTGGATTCAGATCATGCCAGTTAGAAACTGGAGTCAAAGAGATGGAGCAGAACTAAAGAGAAAGGTAATGAATTCAAGTTAGGATTTACTGCGTTTGAGGTAGTAAGAGCAGGATATCCAGGTGAAAATGACGAGCAGGTATTGGAGTGGAAGAGTTTAGAGCTCAGCAATGAGGTCAGACCCAGAGAAATAGCTAGAGGAATCAAAAGAAACAAAAGTAAAACAGGACAGAGTTCAGGAGGTTAAAAAAAAGACAAGAAAAATAATTTTAAAATTGAGGAAATTCGCTACAAAAAATAGTGAACGCCTGAACTTAATGATTAACAAGAACTCAATTTAGGTGTAAGTTAGTGTTAAAAGAACCAAACCAAAACAAGGAGAACATACTTTAAAAGGTACATTTAAAATGAGGTGCTCTCTCTTCTGCACAGCAAAAGAGACAGTAACCGAAACAAAGAGACACCCCATGGACTGGGAAAAAATTTTTGCACACAACACTAATGATAAAGGACTGATCACAAAAATCTACAAAGAGCTGAAGAGACTCAACAAAAACAAAGTAAATAACCCAGTCAAAAAATGGGCAGAAGAGCTAAAAAGGAACTTCTCCAAAGAGGAAATGCAAATGGCCAACAGGCATATGAAAAAATGTTCAACATCACTTGTCATCAGGGAAATGCAAATCAAAACTACCATGAGATACCATCTCACACCAGTGAGAATGGCACATATTAAAAAAAGTAGCAACAACAAATGTTGGTGAGGATGTGGAGAAAAAGGAACTCTCCTGTACTGCTGGTGGGAGGGCAAACTGGTCTGACCACTATGGAGAGCTGTGTGGAGATTCCTCAACCTGCTAAAGATGGAGCTTCCATATTGTAGAGTAAGGTAAAAGTATCAGGCTTTTCTGCCCTCCCGTCATTAGGATAGATGAGGGAACCCTGTGGTCCTGAATGCATGCCTGATGGCGAGCACCTGAAGTGGGTACACCTTGGGTTCTTGGGCAGAACACAAGAACGAACGGAAGCCGAAAGAAGAAGAAAAGCAGAGAGAAGGCCAGTGAGCCCAGATAGAGTGAGGATTTGCTGAGGGCTAGGAGGACTGCCAGCCTCCCAGCCCCCCAGCACCCTTGCCTGCCATATGCCTGGTAAATCTAAATAAAAGACCTACAAAACCCACTGAGGGCTTCAGGACTCTTTTCTCCTTTACCCCATCTGCATGGGATCATAGAAAACCTGCTCAGTGTCATTCCTGCCTCACACATACGCTCTAGCAATTCCACTCCTAGGTATTTACCCAAAGGACACAGAAACATTAATTCAAAAGGGCACCTGCACCCCTATGTTCATAGCAGCACTATGTACAATAGCTAAGCTATGGAAACAACCCAAATGCCCCAAAATAGATGACTAGATGTAGGACAGGAACAGGACACAGTGCAGGTTTTCTGATCCCATGCAGACCGGGTAAAGGAGGAGTCAGAGTCCTCAGTGGTTTTTGCAGGTCTTTTATTGGGGTTCACCAGGCATATGGCAGGCAGGGGTGCTGGCTGGGGAGCTGGGAGGCCTGCCAGCCTCCCAGGCCACAGCAAATCCTCACTCTATCTGGGCTCTCTGGGGTTCGTTCTGCTGCTTCTCGGCTTCTCTTTCGGCTTCGGCTTCTACTGCTGCTGCTGGCATCCCCGTGACACTGCCCTTAAAAAGCACAGTCTTAGCTCAGCTGAATCCCATCTACCTATGCCCACACCCTATTCCAGGTGCCCGCCATCAGGCATGCATTCAGGACAAGGATCCATCATCTATCCTGATGGCAGAAGGGCAGAAAAGCCTGATATTTTCTTTACCCTACACTAGATCAAGAAGATGTGGTCCATATACACAATGAAATATTATTCAGCAATCAAAAAAGATAAACTCATGCAATTTGCAGCAACATGGATGGAGCTGGAAGGGATCATGCTCAGCAAAATAAGCCAGAAAGAAAAAGAAAAATACCGGATGGTCTCACTCATAGCAGGAATTTAGAAAACCTAAATAAGGGACCATGAGAAAGACTAATTATAATAAAGTAAAAATCAAAATCAACAAGCAACTATAAACCAGAGACACACTGTGGGGGGAGGAAGGGAGCAGGGATTAGGGTCAAAACAAGGGGGGTGGGAATTGTATGGGGACTATAACCAAGATGAAAATGCATACATTGTGCAAAAATGAAAAATGATGTAAAAATTATATAAAAGAAAAAATACCCAAAAAAAGCTCATTAAAAAACCTGAAAAGCCAAAAAAAAAAAAAAAAAAAGTGAGGTGCTCTGCACCAAGGTTGAGAGTCAGCCGGCCACGCCCTATCAAAGCCAGGCCACGCCCAGGCCACGCCCACTGCACACCTTCCGCGGACTCCTTCCGCTGCTCCGCCATCTTGAGAGACGCTGGTCTTCTAAGCAAGAAGTCCTGATTAGGGCTGGGGCTGTGAATTTCTGTAAGTAAAATGTCCAGCTCTGTGCTTTCTCCTCAAGCCTGTCTAGAAATAGCAGGAATTGCCGGGATAGTGTGTGTTATGCTCTTCTTCAGGGTGAGCTCACTTCCTCGGGGAACCTGGAGCTGCCGTTATTCCTTCCCTCTGCTCAAGATTCGGGGTGGGGGCGTGAAGTTGAGGACCCCACGGCTTCCGCCCAGATTTGCCCTTTTCGGGGTGAGGGGCCCTGAGCCCCCCAGCTTCGAGGCCCGTGCGGCGGCGTGGCCGGGGCTGATCTGAGCGTCCGAGCAGGCGCCCGGGGTCGGCCTGTGAGTGTCCCTCCTCTCTGTGCTCACAGCTCAGGGCTTCCTTTTACTCAAACTCTGAAAATACTTGTTTTGTGTCTAGAGTTTTTGTTGTTTATAGCGGGGTACAGGGAGGGATACGCTTTTGTTCTTGTTTCCCAAGCCTCCATGCTCAGGCAAGTAGGTGAGCAGGAGGGGCGTTGACTGAGGTTGGTGCAGACCCTGGAGGAGCAGGTTTTGGTGGGAAAGTCCAGGGTTTGGTGTTGGACATTGTCATCTTGAGGTGCCATCGAGAAATACAAGTGCAGGTGTCAGTAGGCTGTTGGGTGTGTGGATTTGGAAGTCAGAGGTCTGGAAGAGAAACATTGTTTATTGATCATTCCTTAAATATTATTGAATTTTCATTTTGAATTTGCTTGCTCTTATTGGTAGACACGCAGCATTTGTGAATGTGAGGGCAGTGGTTGTAGTAATGATTTTGATGAAAATGCTGCCTTTTATTCAGCATTCAAGTGATTTACTATCTCCGAAAGAGCTTTTGTTCCACAACATCTTTTTCGCCCCAATTTTGCAATTAGTCCCATCAAATTCATGCAGTTTCACCAACCAATTCAAACTTGTCTTATTTTCACTGTGATTATTTTCCTTTGTCCCAATGGTTATTTATAAATTGGGTGTTTAATTCCCAAATGTGTAATTTTCTTGGTATATTTTTCTTAAGTGTAATAGTTACACTGTCAGTTACACCAGAGACCTCTAAGAATTGAATTCTTAAGAATTGAATTCTTAGAGGTTTATTAATACCAATTTTTTGGTGCAATACATGATCCCTTTGGTAAAGGTTCCACTTTCATTTGAAAAGAATGTACATTGTGCATCATTGTGTTAATGAAGATTAGTTGAAAATTTCTATATTCTAATAGACTTTTTGTCTGCTTATTTTATCCTTTATTGAGAGAGGTGTGCTGATTTTCCCACCACAATTGGAGATTTGTGTGTTTTTCCTTTAGAGGCTGTATGATTGGGTTCATGTAAGATTGAAAATTCTTTTAAAATTTTTTAAAGGTTTATTTATGCATACAAGAGCTGGGGTACAGGTCAGAGGTGTGGGGGGTGAGAAGACTCACCAGAGACAAATGGGGAGCAGAACAGACAGACCAACTGAAATACACTGCTGAGGGGAGCAGCAGGTGAGCCAGGAGAGGTCTGCTGTGCCATGTGGGCAGCTCCCTGGCCGGAAATCGAATTCATGCTGCAGCTAGCTTCATAGTGCTGTGCTTAACTTATTCCCTTGCTCCACCAGGGAGGCCTCCCTGGTACCTTTTTCTTTCCTACTGAGTGACACCATTTAATATTTCTTGTAATGTTAGTCATCTGATCATTAATTCTTCCAGTTTTGATTATATGAAAAGGTTTTTATTTCACTTTCATTATTTAAAACTGTTTTGCTGAGTGTTGAATTCTAGGTTAATGTGGGGTTTTGTTTTTGTTTTTTTTTTTGGTCCTTTAAAGATGCTACTTCACTGTTTTCTGGCTTGCATCGTTTTCAGTAAGAAATCTTTTTTTTAAAGAATGTGAAGAAATATTTTTATATTTGTCCCTTTACATGTAATATAGCTTTCCACTCTGACTGGGTTCGCAGTTTGTCCATTTTCTCTTACCAGTGTTTTTAGGCACCTTGATTATGATGTCTTGTAATTTTCTATATATGCCATTTCCTTGGGGTTTCTTTTTTTTTTTTTTTAAAGATTTATTTTTATTTATACAAGCACTGGGTACAGTCAGAAGCACGGGAGGGTGAGAGAATTCACCAGAGCCAGAGCGGGGAGCAGAGCAGGCAGAAGGACCGAAGTACACTGCTGAGGGGAGCAGCGGGCGGCAGGAGAGGTCTGCGCGCCATGTGGGACCCTCCTCCGGTGGCTGGGGAGCAACCGGGGATCGAACCGGTGCTGCAGAGGCTGCGGGCAACTTCGCAACCCAGGGCTCAACCGCTGCGCCACCTGGGAGGCCCTCCTTGGGGTTTCTATACTCCTTGTGTCTGTGGGTTTTCACTGAATTTGGAAAATTTTCAGTCATTTCTTCAATTATTGTTTTTCTCTTATTTTCTCCCTCCTCTCTTTCAGAGTCTCCAGTCACATTAAAATAGATGGCTCATAGTTCTGTCGCCCAGCCTACTCTTCATTTTTAAACATTCTCACGTTCTATAATCTTTTCTTCTGTAGTAGCTAATCTGAGCTTAATCTAAGCAGTGTATTTTTCATCTCAGATAGGACTATCATCTCTAGAAGCTCAGTTTTCATCTTCTAACAATATTTCACATCTTTCCTTAGCATGCTTGTTTTCTTCTATTGTCTTGAACACATAGAATACAGGTGTAATAATGTTGCAATGTGCTTGTTCACTAGTTCTGTCATTGGAGACATTTTTTAGTAGTTCGTGAATATTCCCTCCTCCAATTGGGTTGTGTTTTCTTGACATGGTAATTTTTGATGGGATGCTACTGTTGTGAATTTGATCTTTGTTCGAAAACACCGTCAAGTTACTTGGAAACTTTTGATTCTTTTGAAGCTTATGTATGATAAGCTTTGTGTGGCTAAGTCATAACAGCTTTTAATGTAGGCCTAATTATTTCCACTACTGAGGCAATACTCTTCTGAATGTGCTATTCAGTAGTTTTACAAAGTTTTGTGAGGCCTGGAGTTTGTCTTACCACCTCCTTTTATATTGTCCCTTCCCTAGCCAAAGGTAATTTCTTCAAATGCATGTACTGACCAGTCTTCAATTGGAGACTGGGGTGGGAGAGTAAGATACAGGGGAACTCTGTGTGCTCAATTCAGGGATACTGTGCTCAATTCTGTGTGCTCAATTCAGGGACACTGTGTGCTCAATTCAGGGATACTGCCTGGCTCCACCTGAAGTACTTTGGGTATTTCATCCTGGAAACTCTAGTCAGGTTATCAGTGGGCATTCATAATGCACACTTCCTTTGTTTACCATCTCTCAAGGATTACTGTCCTTCAGTGCCTATTTCCCACTGTCTGGAAACTGTTGGTTCACATATTTCTGTTTTTTAGTTACTTAAGATATGAAGGTTACTTCAGTGCCTGCTACTCCATTTTGGCTGGAAGTGGACACTCAGACTATGACTCTTAACTGTAGCACTAGAGTGAGTGCTTTCACAAAAAGCAAAGTGGGCATACCATACAGTTTTCAGCAACAGATACTGTTGCCTGGGATCAGGTCATTTAAGGCTCTTCTTGCTTGTTTTTAAATAATTTGTTGTTCCCCTTCCCACATCTGATTCCAAACATTCTCTGAAAGTTTCTATTTCTGAGAACAATTTTTTTCCTATCACAGTGTGGTGAGAAAATGCAAGTGACAAGTAGGTGCCCCTCAATATCTATTTCTTTAAATAAAAAATACTTATCTGTTAGAGAAATGTCACATTCAGCTTCTGTAAGTGTCCTTAAATAAGGGGGCACAACCTTTGTTCCTTCCCCTTCTTGCTGATTGGAATTTGGAGTGATGAATAGAGTAGCCATTTTGGACCCCTGAGAAGAAAGCTCTGTGCTGTAGTGGAACAGCAAGGTGGAGCATGTCTAGGTTCTTAATGACATTGTGAAGCCCCATACCACATGATCTGTTATTTCTACCTTTGAAATATTTTTGTGGGCAAAAGAAAAAAACAAACTTGGCTTATTTCAGTCATTGCTAATTTGAATAGTCTATCATCCTAATTCCTTATGGGAAAAAAAGGGAAGGGGCAAACAGTTGTTTGAGAAACTTTTTATTCAAGGATTGTATTTTTCATATACTTCACCCATGCCTCTTAGTTCTTAAATTATTTCAAGAGCATATTATAGTTTAAAAACACATTCATATTTATTATCGAATTTGATGCATCCAGTGTCTTTTAATTGTTTACTAAAGAGAGTGTTGCCTTGTTAGAGGTGAGAAGTCTAAGCCTTCAGTGGTGCATTGACAACAGTAAACATTAACAGGTTAGTGACAAAGGTAGGATGAAGCTGTACTCTTCTGCACTGAATTCAGTGCATTTTCTTAGATTACCAGTTTCAAAAAAATTCAATTTTTGATGGAATTTTCTGTAGAATGGGGGCATGAAACATTTGAAGAAGCTATTAGATTCTGATTATTTTATTTGTCCTTCCAGCAAAAGGGTGAACTATGCAAAAGGTCGGGAGGATTTCGCGCAGGAGCAAGAGGTCAAGAAGAAAGAAAAAGCATACTCCATGGATAATCAACTACCAGTGCTATCTTACCTTCATTACTGGCTGCTACACCTGCCAGTGGAAAGTCCAAAAGGAGAAAAGACTTAAGCATGAATTCTGCTGCTGCTCTAGGGTATAGAAACATGGAAAACATCTGGACCACACTTTCTCCGATGTGGGGAACTTGGGCTGGTGCCAGCTTCCATGTGGGTTCATGGTAGTCTCCAGGACTGGGTGTGCTAGAGCTCTCGTTCTTCTGTGAAACGACTGCCGTAATTCTGGAACCAAAGTTAACCTTACAGAAACATGCGCTTGTTTTCCTCATGTTGTTGTATTCTTTACTTCTTTTCCTTACATCATTCACTCATTTATTTACTTTTGCACTTTTCATGTACTGAAACTTGAAGAAAAAATAAGGTTTAAGTAGTTTAGGTTCAGTTAGTTATTTTTGGCTAGGGATTATAGAAATGACTTAGTCTTTGATTTTATTTTCATTGTGAGTTTTCCAAAGCAGCTGTGCTTATGAGAGCAAAACAGCAAGTGGTTAACAAGGTGCTCTTTTATTATTGGTCAGACTAAAACCTGATTTTCCTTAAAGAAGAGCTCTGGTGAGAATGAGTGGTCACATGTTACCTACCCCAGTCAGGATGTCTTTTTTTCTCTGTGCCATATCTTGGCACACCTCTGGTGGGCTGTAAGATATAAGAGACCAAATGATGTGCATGCTGAAATGAGAAGAAGGCCATATCTTGTACCTCCCCTTACTTGTAAGCATGGTTCATCTAGGATCCAAGAATTTCACCAATTGGATCACTGTGTGGAAACAGGAGGCTTCTTTGGATTAGGCAAGAGTGTTCTTCCCCCTATGTCTTTCCTGCCCAGCTGTTTGACCTTTGTGCTGGTAACTGGGGATAACAGAAGTGCCTCAGACGTGGTTCCTGCTTTCAAGGAATTCAGTCTACTGGAGGAAAAGACAAGTACACACAATCTCAGGATACTAAGATATGTGTCATGGTTGTGTGTGTGCAGCATGTGTGTATCTGTGCACTAAGGGAGGGACGGATAAGTCTTTAGAAGGTGAAAGGTGACTACTAGTTGGATAGGGAAAGAATTGTGGGTGGAGGAATAAGGTTTAAGTAGTTAAGTAGTGATGGTATTGGAGGAGGTATCAAAGAACAAAGGTATAAGCTGCTTCAGTAGTACCCAGCAATAAGATTTGTTGTAAGGATAGAAGAGTTAATATGTGGAAAACACTTAGAATTGGGCTCAGCACACAATGAGTCCTCAACTCAAATGTGAGTTCTGCTTTTATTTTTATAACTGTTCCTGGAGTCACTGACTTATAGGAGTGATTTTCTACATATAGAAATAGTACAGGGGGTTCTGGGTAGAGAAAATAATGTGGTCAAAAGTCCAGAGATAGAGAAGCGCAGTGGTGTGTTTAGGGAAAAGCAAATTTCTGGTGTTGAATTTAGGGACATGTAAGGGGATGAATGGTAAGTGGTAGGTTTGATTAAAATATGAAGCATCTTTTTTTTTCTTTTTTCTTTTTTTGCATCTTAATGTCAAGATAAAGTATTTTAACTTTATTTTGTGAATAGTGAATTTTTGAGAAAGAGCTTGAGAATCAGTATAAAGAAATGGATTTATTTAGCAGAGACAAGGTTATGGAACACCGGTTAGTATGGACCACAATAAGTAAGATGACTGAAACCTCTGGCCCTCCAACAGTTTTTGTTCTTGTAGCATGAGTTAGGTAATAAACAAGTAAAGATTATTTCAGACTGCAGTAAGAGTTTTGAATATAATAAATGAAAAATACGCCAGAAACTGGAATGGGGAAGTGGTTTGAGAATACCTCTTTGAAAAACTATCATGTGAACTGTCTCCTAAATAGAGAGGTACCACTAGCCAGGTATACAAATGGGGGCAAAAGTGTATCAGGCATAGGAACCAAAAAGTACAAAGCTCTTGGGATGGAAACACATTTGATCATGTTCTAGAAACAGAAGAAGGCTACTGTGACTTGAATTCAGAAATGGAGTCAGTGTAGAATGAGTGGGATAAGATTAAGGATGGGCACGAGTTGATAACAGCAGACCTGTTGGCCAACGCAGGTAGTTGGATAATAGTCTAATATAATAGGAGACTCTTGGATGGTTTTGATAAGGATTTGTTCAGCAAAAACACGGTTATGGAACACTAGTTACTGTGGACCACAATAAATAAGACAACTAAAACCTCTGGCCCTCCAACAGATCATATTCTAGTGGCATGAGTTAATAAACAATAAATAAAGATTATTTCAGACTAAAATAATGGTAATATCTGATATGTGGTAATATATTTACCCTGTGGTAATATCTGATACATTTTTTTAAAGTTTATATACAAATTTTGTGCAGAGAATAAGACCCGAGTAAAATCCTGTGCTCTTCATCTTCCTAGATTCAGAAAGTGGTTGTGTAGTGCCTTAATAGCTATAATATCTCTCTTTTTTGCAGTCAAATGCTCTACCACTGAGCTATACCCCCTTATCTCTCTTTTTTGAAATGCCCTTTCTATGTTTTCCATTTTATTTCCTTATTCATACTCTTCACAATACCACCATAATTTAGACAGGGCAGGGATTAGGCTATCCCTTTTAGAGAAATTTACAACTGCCTGAAGAAGCAAAATTTCTTATTCATGTGATACAGAAATGTTAGGATTAATAACTCAGGTAGCAACCCAAAGTTAACGTTCCCAGGAAGGGTTTAGCAAACTCTGCAAACTCTGGCAAGACTCAGCTTGAAGACCTCCTATGTAAAGATATCCTGTATCTTGGCTTTGGGCTCACATATCTGGCTCTGCTATTTCTTGGCTGTGTGATCTTGAATCAATTACTTTACTTCTCTGAGCTTTAGTTATTCTGCAAAATGATGTTAATAATAACAGCCATAACTTATATGGCTATATTGCAAAATGAATGAAAGCAGCTTATCAGATTTCTAGTGTCCTCAAAAAACAAAAACAAAAAATGTTTGTTCCTCAACATACTCCCTTTCAAATATGGGTAGTAGATAAATGACTAAATGAACTAATGAATGAATGAATGAATGACTTAATGAATGAATCATCAAACATTTGGTAGCTGGAGATGTGAATGAATTCAACAGATGATTGTTGCAAGCCAGCTGCATTTAAAGAACCAGCTTGATATTGGCAATAAATACTGAGATGTGTTAGCAGAAATTCCTTTTCCTCAAAGAAATGGAGCAACAGATATATAAACACATCATTGCAATTCAGTGTAATAGGGGTAAAAAGAATGCAGCCTGGGACGGGTAATGCGTGGCACCGCATCTATACAGACCCTTGGCAAGTATGTACAGATATTGGTGAGTGAAATGGGTAAATGGAGCTAAATTAGATTCCTTTCTTTGTCTTCCCAGAGAGAACAAATATTTTGCTTATTTCTGATTTTTTCGGCTGGCTTGTCTGTGCTTTTGCTGTTCTTGTGGCTCGAATCCTCAAATGAATTCATGGGCTTTGACTGGTAAGTTTCACTTTTTGCATTTTCACTTTGTTCTGATGGCCACCTGGAATCTGCCTCAGATGAAAAGATCTATTGGCATAGTAGGGAGGCCAGACAAAATTGGGCATTTCCCAGAGAAGCCTGGAGGGTGAGAAGCCTGACCCTGGGGCCTGGTAATGAAACTCTTCACTGTTTTACCTGTGCCTACTCTCAGGCTAATTCTGGCTGAGTGGGGAAGCTTTCTCTGTGCTTCCACGGTCCCCAATCCTTCTGGTTGACATCTTGTTCCTCAGTCTCTTTATCTGGGTCATTGGTGCGTACGCTAGTTGGGCTCCATGATCTCTGTCATGAACCCTGATGTTCGTTGCCAACTCATTGCCTGCTCCTAAGTCCTTAGGGGACTTCCTAGGACTCTGAACATAGATATGCGAGTCCCTTCTCAGCACTTTTTCATGCTCCTTGCCCTTGCAAGTTCTCTGGCCTGATTGTTGCACATCTTACCCATTATTTGATATTTGGAGGAGAACGGGGTATTTTCAGTGTGAGGCTTTAAGAAAAATGGAATACCATTTATTTTCCCTTTTATAGAAGTATAATATAGTTTATTATTTTAAATCTAAAAATACACAAAATTAGAAAACTTAAAAAGTCTGTTTAGACTTATTCTTTTTTTTTTTTTTTTAAAGATTTATTTATTTATTTATTTATATAAGCACTGGGCACAGTCAGAAGCATGGGAGGGTGAGAGAATTCACCAGAGCCAGAGCAGGGAACAGAACAGGCAGACTGATGAAATACACTGCTGAGGGGAGCAGCAGGCGCGGCAGGAGAGATCTGCGCGCCACGTGGGACCCTCTCCAGCAGTTGGGGATCGAACCGGCACAGCAAAGACTGCGGGCAGCTTCGCAGCCAAGTGCTCAACCACTGTGCCACAGGGGAGGCCCTGTTTAGACTTATTCTTGAGGGACAATCACTTGTTATATTTCCCAGCCTTTTTTTCTATACTTATTTTTATATTATGCTCATTCTGTATGTATGTGTATATATATATATGTGTGTATAATCATTTTGCTTTTACTTTTCAGTTAAAATAATCACAGATGTTTTGATGAATTTTTAAAACCCTTAATGAACATCATAAAATGATTTCAAAATATTTCTTGACATGAGAATGCTGTTATATACTTTACCAGTTTTTATTGTTAGGCATTATGAGTGTTTCCATTTTTCTTGTTTTTATAAAAAAGAAGTACAGAGAAATCTTTGTATTTTGACTTGTGTTCTTACAATAGATTCTCATAAGTGGCATATTTGAGTCAAGAATAATAAACACTCCTGAAATATATTATGCCTATTATCAAACCTCTTTCTCAAAAAGTTGTAGCAATTTCCATTCACAACTGAGGTATATGAATCTCTCTTTTAACCTGCCATTGACCATTCTTATTTTGAATAATTTTTTTATCACATGTGTAGATGGAATTTCTTTTTAATTTAGTAAGTTTCAAAACTAGGTTATTTTTACTTTTTATTCTTCCTTTGTCTTGTGGGATTCTTAGTAAATTTCCTCTTCAGATTATCAGTTCTAAATCATACCATAGCACTTAAAATACAAAAATGTTTCATTTCTTTAAAAATTCCTGCGTTTTAAATTCTCTCACCCTCCCGCACTTCTGACTGTACCCAGTGCTTGTATAAATAAATAAATCAATCTTAAAAAAATGAAAATACCTGCATTTTAAAAAACCTCATTATTAAGATAGAATTTACATACAACACTCTATTAGTTGCACATGTACTGCATGATTAATATTTGTACATACTGTAAAATGATCACCGCTTCAAGTCTAGTTAACATCACACATAGTTGTCACAAATTTTCTTGTGTGTGACAAGAACTTAAAAGATTTACTCTTAGCACTACTTATAAATAAGCAATGCACTATTATTAACTATAGCCACCATACAGTACATTATATCGTTTATATTTTTTAATTACCTTCACCCATTATATGTACCCTCAACCCCTGCCTCTGGAAATCACCAGTTAGATTTCTGAATCTATAAATTTGGTTTTTGTTTATTTGTTTTAGATTTCACATTTAAGTGATATCATAGAATATTAGTTTTTCTCTTTCTGATTTATTTCACTTAGCAGAGTGTCCTCAGGGTTCATCCATATTGTCACCAGTGGCAGAATTTCTTTCTTCATTATGGCTAAATAATATTCATATATATGAAATTGTGGTTTTGATTTATAGTTCCCTGATGATTACTGATTTTGAGCACCGTTTGGCCCTCTGCATATCTTCTTTAGAATAATACCTATTCAGATCCTTCCACATTTTTTAAATTGGATTTTTTATTTGCCATTGAGTTGTATGAGTTGTTTTTATGTATATTGGATATTAGCCCCTTAATCAGATACATGATTTGCAACTTTTTTCTGACTTAGTGGGTTGATGTTTTGTTTTGCTGATGGTTTTCTTTGCTATGCAAAGGCGTTTTGATTTGATGTAGTTGGGCTTGTTTATTTGCTTTTGTTGCCTTTGCTTTTGGTATCAAATTCAAAAAATCATTGCCAAGTCTAATGTCAAGAAGCTTACTGCCAGGAGCAATAGCTAGAACTTTTGCTGGTAGAAGCTTTATGGCTTCAGGTTTTGCATTAAATCTTTGATCTATTTCAGTTGACTTTCATGTTTGGTGTGAGATAGCTGTCAAGTTTCATTCCTGCATGTGGCAGTTTTCCTAGCACTGTTTATTGAAGAGACTGTCTTTTCTCCATTGAGTTTTCTTGGCAACAAATATTAATTGGCTGTGTATGTAGTCAGCTAACTTTCTGTTTCTTTCAATAATGTATAATAGTTTTCAGTGTAAAAGTCTTTTACCTCTTTGGTTAAATTTATTCCAAGTTACTTATTTTTTTTATGCAGTTATAAATGGGATTGTTTTTCTGATTTCTCTTTCTGCTAGTTCATTATTTGCTTATAGAAATGCAACAGATTTTTTGTATATTAATTTTGTAACCTGATATTTTACTGTATTATTCCACTAGCTTTTTACTGTAATCATTGGGATTTTCTATGTATATTATCATGTCATCTGCAGGTAGTGATAGTTTTAATTCTTGCCTTCTTGGGTATCTTCTATATTCTTCTCTTGTCTAATTGCTCTTGATAGGACTTCCAACACCATATTGAATAGTCATGGTGATAATGCATATCCTTGTCTTTTTCCTGAATTTAGAGGAAAAATTTTTCACCATTGACTTATGAGGTTGGCTATGGGTTTGTCTTAGATGACCTTTATTATGTTAAAGTGTGTTTCCTTTGTTGAGGGTTTTTTTTAAATCATAAATGGATGTAGAATCTTGTCAAGTGCTTTTTTTGTTTGAGTCTATTAAGAGCATATATATATTTTTCTTTTTTGTTGATGTTATATACCACGTTTACTGATTTTGGGTATGTTGCCTTTTTGGAATAAATTCTACTTGATAATAGATAATAGTGTATGATTCTTTCACTGTGTTGTTGAATTCAATTTGGTAGGTTTTTTGTTGGGGATTTTTGCATCTGTTCATCAGAGATACTGGTTTATGTTTTCTTTCTTTTGTGCTATCCTTGTCTAGTTTTGGAATCAGGGATTGTTGGCCTCAAAAAAATGCTTGGAAGTTTACCCTCTTTTCACTTTTTGGGAATTTGAGGAGAGGTGTTACTTCTTTGAAACTTTGGTAGAATTCACTAGTGAAGCCCTCTGGTACTGGGTTTTGTTTTGGGGGAGACTTTTGATTACTTTTTCAGTTTGCTGATTGCTCGTTCAGAATTTTTGTTTCTTCCTCATTCAGTCTTGGAATGCTGTATGTTTCTAAGAGTTTGTTTCTTCTATATTGTCCAACTTGTTGCTATGTAAATATTCATAATACTCTCATAAGCCTTTGCATTTCTTTAGTATCTGTTGAAACTTCTTTTGTTTCTGATTTTATTCATTTTTTCTCACTTCGAAGTCTGGCTAAAGGTTTATTTTTCAGATCTTTTCAAAGAGTCAGCTCTTGGTTTCAGTTGATTTTTTGAATTGTCTTTTTGATCTGTAGTTCATTTATTTCTGTTCTAATTTTATAATTTCGTCCTTTTACTGACTTTTGGCATTGTTTTTTCTTTTTCTTTTTTTAATTTTCTTTTTTTATTTTTATATTCCCTATACAACTGCAACCCCGATTTTGACCCCAATCCCTTTTCCCCCCACCCCCAAAGAGTGTCTCTGGTTCATAGTTGTTTGTTGATTTTGATTTTTTTCCTTTCTTATAGTTATTCTTTTTCCTGGTCCATATTTAGGTTTTCTAGATTCCTGTTATGAGTGAGACCCATTCGGTATTTTTCTTTTTCTTTCTGGCTTATTTCGCTGAGCATGATCCCTTCCAGCGCCATCCATGTTGCTGCAAATTGCATGAGTTTATCTTTTTTCAATGCTGAGTAATATTCCATTGTGTATATGTACCACATCTTCTTGATCCAGTCATCTATTTTTGGGCAGTTGGGTTGTTTCCAAAGCTTAGCTATTGTAAATTATGCTGCTATGAACATTGGGGTGCAGGTGCTCTTTGGAATTAATGTTTCTGTGTCCTTTGGGTCAATACCTAGGAGTGGAATTGCTGGATCATATGGAAGCTCTATCTTTAGTAGGTTGAGGAATCTCCACACAGCTCTCCATAGTGGTTGGACCAGATTGAACTCCCACCAGCAGTGCAGAAGAGTTCCTTTCTCTCCACATCCTCTCCAACATTTGTTGTTGCTAGTTTTTTTAATTTGTGCCATTCTCACTGGTGTGAGATGGTATCTCATTGTAGTTTTGATTTGCATTTCCCTGATTGCAAAGTGACGTTGAACATTTTTTCATATGCCTGGTGGCCATTTGTATTTCCTCTTCGGAGAAGTTTCTTTTTAGCTCTTCTGCCCATTTTTTGACTGGATTATTTACTTTGTTTTTGTTGCGACTCGTCAGCTCTGTAGATTTTTGTGATCCGT